CTAGTTCTCCCCACGGCTAGCACTTGGTACTGTGCAGTCAGCCTCACTGCCTCCAGTCAGCCATCTATAGGTCATTAGAAATCATAAGCTTCATCCTTAGGGAGAGAAGGCCTGTCTTAGGTCCCAGAAAACACATGCTAATGGGCTGAACCCCAGCTTCAATTTGATGGCTGGAATGGTATCTCTCTAGGCCAGAAATGAAGGGATAGGGTTAGCAGTGTCTCAGACAAGGCCAAAAGTCATCCCAGGAACCCTGATCATCCCTCAACATCTGTGTCAATAAGGCTGTCAAAACAGCCTGCTAAAATACAACTTGGCAGTCTGCAATGGGTTGACATTTTGTGGAGAGCAAATTACTTGGGCTATTAATTTAGGGCTATTGTATACCCTTCCCCCTTCCCCACTGTCGCCACCACCCGCCGCCTGCCCACCCACTCAATTTCCTACACAGCCTCTGACACCCTCTGACTGCACACAGACATCTGTGTGGTGCAACGGAAGGATTGTAATCAGAGACAAGAAGTTGTCAAGTTGGAAATGTTTTTTCTGCCCTCATGACAAATGATGATGTTTGCTGTTCAAGGTGAGAGAATGTAAACACTTGGATTTGTTTTTAACCATTAACCCTTTTGGGTGGTATGATGAGCCTTGCATACAGCTTCCAGGGAAGTCAGTGGAATCATAGGATCCAAGATTTAGAGATTGAAGGGACCTTAAAGTCTCTCTGCTTTGCAACTTGGGAAACTGAGGCACAAAGAGGATGAGTGACCTTGCTCAGGGTCACACAGGTATTGAGTGACAGAGGAAGGGAGGGAAGCACTTAACACAGCTAGACTCTAAGTCTAGAACAAAGCCTGCGCCGCCCATACCAAGAGAGTGACGATGACATAAAAAAAATCAACCGTTTTGTAGTTTGACAAAGCAGATTGAATGCTGGATTTGCAGACAAGATACCTAGGATCAAATCTTAGATCTTACTTAGATCCTTACTAACCAAGAAATCATGGGAAACTCTTAACCTTTCAGATCTTTCTTATATGTATAGAAATGAGACAACAGTCTTCACACTCCCTGACTTAACTCTGCAGTGTTCTGGAGCTTGGTGTAATCAGCACAACAGCATCTGAAAATAGGAGTATTTCTAGGGAATTTTTCATTGCTTTGACTCTTGAACTAGATCATAGCAAACACATTTGGTGGGTGGGGGTGGGAAGGTTCTCAAAATCTCTCCTTACCAATAAAAACTCTGGGAGCTTAAGTATCTGAAACCTGTTGTTCCCTTCAAAAAAGTCCTTAATTCCCCTGCAAGCATTCAGGCTAATAAGAACATTAAACAGAACAGGTTTGACTTAACACAACAGGACAATCAAGAAAATTCTCCTTATGATGGATAACAAACAATCACCTCCTTTTAAGGGCCCCACCTTCCCCAGGGGTCTATGTACTCACTCCTGTAGAAGCTCAGTCATTCTGTTATTATACCCACTTCTTGCTATTCACTTCCTTTCCTTAGAGCACCTGGACTGGAGAAGGATTATATTGGAAGTATAAGCCATGTTATAGCTCATTTAGAAACAAACAGCCAAGGCCAACATGCCTCTAAGTTCTCTGAAGAAAGGAAAGAGGGAGGGAGGGAAGGGGGAAGGAAGGAAGGAAAGAAGAAAGGAGAGGAGAGGAGGGAGGGAGGGAAGGAGGGAGAGAAGGAAGGAAAGAAGGAATAGGAAGGAAGGGAGGGAGAGAGGAAAGGAAGGAAAGAAGGAAGGGAGGGAGGGAAGGAAGAAAAGAATGAAAAAAGGAAGGAAGGGAGGGAGGGAAGGAAGAAAAGAATGAAAAAAGGAAGGAAGGAAGGGAGGGAGGGAAGATGGAAGGAAGGAAGGAAGGAAGAAGGAAGGAAGGAAGGAAGGAAGGAAGGAAGGAAGGAAGAATAGAAGGAAGGAGAGGAGAGGATGGAGGGAGGGAAGGAAGGACAGAAGGAAGGAAAGAATAGGAAGGAAGGGAGGGAGAGAGGAAAGGAAGGAAAGAATAAAGAAAAGAAAGAAGGAAGGGAGGGAGGGAAGGAAGAAAAGAATGAAAAAAGGAAGGAAGGAAGGAAGGAAGGGAGGGAAGATGGAAGGAAGGAAGGAAGGAAGGAAGGAAGGAAGGAAGGAAGGAAGGAAGGGGTGGAGGGAGGGAGTGAAGAAAGGAATAAAGAAAGGAAAAAAGGAAGGGAGGGAGGGAAGGAAGAAAAGAACGAAAAAAGGAAGGAAGGAAAGGAGGGAGGGAAGGAAGGAAAGAAGGAATAGGAAGGAAGGGAGGGAGGAAAAATTGATTTACTAAGTGCCTCCTATGCACCAAGAGCTGTGTTAAGTGCTTAATAAATAGTATCTCATTTGATCCTCACAACAACCCCGGAACCTGAGTGCTACTCTACTTTTTAGCTGAGGAATGGGCTAATTGGAGAGGTGATAAGCTCTGAAGGTTTTGTAGCAAAGGCAAAACGAGCACTTTCAGGTATGTAACAGTAGGGATTTGTGTTCAAATATAAGCTAGACTAGATAGTTTGAGACTGGAAGACAACATAATACAGTGTATGCCCACCAATCAATCAGTAAGTATTAGGCACATACACACACCATTAAGGTGTAAGAACTAAATGGCCCTTTCCTAGAGGTCCTAGGCCCTGGTTGAACCCTATTTCCCCGGGGCATTCAGTACCCCAACTAAATACTAAACCTAGCTATAGATAATGGTTCTCCTTCTTACTTGGTGCCTTTTATTCACGGACTGCAAAATTCTGCCACTTAGATGTGGAGAAACTGAGGCAGGGGAAGAGCTCTTTGCCCTAGGCCACACATGGAGGAATTAGCAGAGCCTAAGACTCCAGCTCTCTGTTCTTTGTTCCAATTACTAGGCCACAATCCTTCCAAAAAGTATCTCTACCTCCTGCTCTAGTCCAATCAAAAGGAATTCCAGCACTGAAAAATTCACCACACACATTCCCCCAGGGACCACAAAGAGAAGAGACCCCCCAGCAAGAGGGAAGGGCTAAGTGATAATTACTTAGTGGAATAGATCAGACTCACATTATGAATTTTGCCAACTCCAGAAGATGAGAACAATCTACCTTTACATAGTTAGCTGTATTTACTGACGTGCTAATCTATTATTTAAGTATTCGGGAATAGAAGAGTGTCATGGTTTTGTAAGTGGTGAAGATTTCAAGTTAAAGACAACCATTGTCGTCCCAACACCCACTATGCTTCTAATTAGCTATGTAATTAAATTACCAATTAGATGAAACTGAAAAGGCTCTTTCCATTTTCTGAAGTAAAATATCCTTAATTATGATGTTGGGTACCAGATAAACAGAAGAAGGCTATATATATATATGTAACATGTTCATATGCATATTTGAATATATATATATATATTATCAAATACTCAGATGGACATGTGATCTCAATTTGGATGCATACCTAAATATGCATATGCTCATATGATCTTTGCAAACCCCCTTAAAAAGAGCTTCAAAGTAAAAATTGCTTTTCTTCTGACTTTGGGGGGAGGGGACCTCAACATTTTTTGTCTTGCCCCTGAAAGGATGATCTTGATAATATCTATAAGTACTCATTCAGATGGGAATTGTTTAAGATACTTCCTTAGGAAACCAGCATGCCAGGAAGTATGCAGGATATAATACTATTTTCTAACAGTCTGATTTTCACATCCCATTAAACCTCTTTTTTTTCTCTCCCTTATAAGGAGACTGACCAAGCCCAAATCTACAGCTTTGATACAGTGGGATCGCTGGGCCTTGTGGCTGAGTAAAGTCTGAGGGGTCTCACAAGCTTTATGTTTTCCTCAAGCACAATCATCGAAAGGGAATGGAGACAGCTGTGAACAGGAAGGAAAGAAATTTCTTTTCTTCTGTGTATTTACTTTTTTATTTTTTTAAGCCCTTCACCATTTTTCCTTGGGGGGCAGGAACACTACCAGTATGCTAATTAAGCTCCCAATGGCACATACCAGTCAGGAAATACCAAAGAAGCAGCTCCTCACAGCACGCTGAGTTGCCAATGTTACCCCATGCCACATAATGAAGTCATACACTGACCCACTGTTCTGACAGGCCAAGCTTTGAATTAACCATGCACACTACTTTTAAACTGATGTGGTTTTAGCTCCTTCCTCCAGATTTCATTTCCTTGCTGCTCTCCCCACCAAGCCACTTTGAAGGAGAAGGAAAAAAAAAACCAGCTTACATGTTTTGTGCTTTGACAATCTTTGTGTCAGATGTGTGTGTGTGTGTGTGTGTGTGTCTTTTTAACTTGAATCCTAAAACTAGACCTTCCACTATTGTGTGGCCCCTTTAAAAGGTGGCTATGTGGTAGAATTGGGCATGCCCAGAAGCCTAGGTTACAGCTGAATACTTCAAAAGTAATGAAAGACATTTCACAAAAAGGAAATTCAAGTTAAGAGGTGGGAAGATGAAAATCAATACGGATGATTTTATCTCAAAAGGAGTTCATTTGGTTAGGGAGAAGGGAAAATAATAAATATTTATTAATCACCTACGTGGAAGGCACTGTGCTAAGTGCTTTATAAATATCTCATTTGATCCTAAATGTGGCAAGTACTATTATTATACCCATTCTACATTTGAGGAAACTGAGGAAGACAGGGGTTAAAAGACTTGCCCAGGGTCACACAGCTAATAAATGTCTGGGGTGGAATTTGAACTCAGAATATGAGCTCTGGACCCCAAATGATCTGCTCCAGGTCAGCAGCAGAGCTGAGATTCGAACTCGGGCCCTATGACCTTAAGTTCTGCATTCTTTGACAGGACGAGCATTGATCTGTTCTTGGGTAAGAAAGCTGCGCCCTGTACCACCTGGTTCTGAAGTAGGATGGCTGCCTACCTAATCACATTCACCTCCCATATGCACTGCCATATGCTTTACCCTTCAGGAGGAAAAAAAAAAAACAACCCAGTCTCGGGTGCAAATCAGCATTTATTTTAGTTAGGCCTCCAATACCAATGCTGCTAATCTGTCCCCTTTTGCCTCAACCCTTGTCTCTTGCCAAATCATTTTTAAGACGTTTGCTGGATTTCTTGTTAAGAACAAAGGATTTTAGTTCTGCCTAGTTTTGTTATTTGGGTTTTGGGTTTTGGGGGCAGGGTTTTGCCCCTCCATATTTCCCCTCTTTGGTGATGCTGGAAGGAATACCCAACATGTTCAAAGGATTTTTTCTCCTATTTTTCAGTAGGGACTCTAGTGCTGAGCAAAGGGGCTGAGTACAAGAGTTTTTCATCAAGGGACATCCATAAGAGAAACTTGGCTTAGCGTGGAAGTGACCGTGACTTTGGTGGTCTCTCACAAGCACCGGTGTTGCGATGGTTGTGCACTTCACCCAGGTGGCCTCACAAATACACAGTTGGTGGTACTTAGCACAGTGCCTGGCACATAGTGGGAGCTTATAAGTGCTTGTTGACTTGACTTGAGCAGCCCAGGTTTTCATGGTCAGGGTCCTTACCGAATGCCCGTTGTCAGGAAGACAAGTCTAGACCTGAAGAGTAGGTTGGAGGAGATGCCATTTACTTCCTTTCCCCAAGACCTTGCCCTCCCCTTGCCTTTCTGAGCTCCATATTTATCCTCTGGCAAAATAAAGAAGGAGGTTCTGTTCAAATTCTGCTGGAAATCCCTCCTCAGGCCTCAACTTGGTCAAGAGATTCTAGAAGTTCATATACTCTGAACCAGAAGGGCCCTTGGAGTCCACCCAGGCCCTGGTTTCATAGAGGAGAAAACTGAGGTTGTCCTAGTCACCTCCAGGTAGTAACTGACAAAGAGGAGATTTGAACCCAGGTCCAAATCCAGTCTCTTTGTCGCTGGGCCAAAGAACAAAGCAACTTCCTTAGGGTTTGGGGGTAGGCAGGGCTCCTCCCTGATAATAGCCACTGTTCAACCTATTGTACTGGTTTTCTTATTCTCAGTCAGATTTGTAAAACAGCAGTTCTAGAAATTAATTGGCAGCTGCCAAACTTGTGAATCAAGGACAAATCTGCTGCTGTGGGTGAGGGCTGTTTTTTTTTAATTACAGTAACACTCATTAAATTATAAAAACAGTAAGAGCAATCGTAGTAATAAGAATTCTATCGAGTTGTACGTTAGTTTGCCAAATTTTAAACATAAAAACTACCAATAGCATTAGAGAAACATGTCATGGGACTATTTCTAGTCAAAGTCCAGTAATTATGAGTGGAAGGAGAGTTAGAATAAAAATAATAAGTGATATTTGCATCATGTTTTGGAGTTTGTATTAACATGCATTATCTCATGTGAGCCCCACAATCATACTAAGTTGACACTGTAGTTATTATTATCCTTGAGGAAACTGAGGCTCGGAAAAGTAAGGAACTAATGTAGACAAGATTTGAAATCAAATATACCTTATTCCAGGGTCCCAATCTCTCTGCCATAACCTGGGTTTTGATGAACCATATTGTTGGTTTCTTTTTGTTTTTCTTTTTATGTGATCTAAATGCAAAAATTCCTTAGGATTTCTCACTTGTGTTTATCTTACAAAAAGAATTTATTTTTCATTCAATAGTGCTCTAAATATGGGGTTTTGTTTAATGAAGCCAGGCATGGGAATAAAAGGGTTACTATTTATGTCCCATTTAATTCCCACACAAAGTAGAATTCAACCCAACCTGGCTTTAATTTTTTTTTCTTCATATAAATAATTAATTCTGCATTTTAAAAAACATGTTAAGATGTTTTATTTCTTAATCAGCTAATTTGACTGGGAAACAAAGATGCCTTTTTCTCCTCATTTTCTTTTGACTAGCGTTACTGTAGTAAAAGCTGCCCCAGCTAGATTTGGCCTTGACTCACAAGTTTGGCGTCTGCCAATTAGTTTCCAAAGCTGCTATTTTACAAAAAAAAAAAAGCTTCTCACTTTTTAAAAATGTAATTGAATGTCTGTTCATCACAGAGTTTCTTGTGTTCAGGCTCCGAGTGTTAAACATTCTTAAGGTTGACTTGGGTCAGCTTTGAAAAATTTCAGACAGTGAAACTTGAGAAGCCCCCGTATGCTGGGGTGCGTTCTCCACATCCTGTTAAGTAGTAAGTGGTTATTTAAAATGGAGTTGTTAGACTCAGCCCCCGACTGAAAGAGCACCATCGAGTTTACAGGACGATTAATTAAATGCGAAGATTGCATGGGATGCCTATGTATTTCCATAATCATTCACGTTGGCCCATCGCTGCCCTTTAATTTTCATACTAATTAAAGTAACACACTGAACTGCAAATTGTGAATGGTTGCATTGCTGCAGAGATGCTAACACTGATGGAAACTGAGTGGTATATATTTTTTTCTTTTTAAAGGAAAAGGACTGGTAGGAAAAGAATCAGCCTGAGTAGATTTGACTTCATTCCACTTCGGGTTCTCTTTTTGCTCCATTCTTGGAGCAAGTTCATAATTTAACAAGACTGTGGGTTATTAAGATGGAGATTGGTTTTTTTTTTGGGGGGGAGTGGTGAATTTTCGACCCCATCTGTTTGGGGGCACAGGGCTGCCCTTGCCTTATGGGGCAATTGATTTTTGAGTGAGCTGGGGTTTGTTTCTGTACAATAGAGTGATTGTTTGGTTACCTTTAAACACTGAGGTTCTTGGAATCTGATGGGCACAAAATAAATCAGCCTGGACCGTACAGCTATTTGGCCCGCTAATTACATTTGACCCATTATCCTGTACCGCTCTCATTCAGACACGGCCACGGCTGACTTGGAGTTTGAAATGTAAATGGAAGGGCTGCTTTTACAGGTCATCATACTATGGAAAGTCAGTTCCTGGAACACTCACTGAGCCCTGGAAAAGAGAAGAAACAGATATGAGCAATTATCCCTGGGACTGTGCAGCTGCTGGCATTTGGGGTTGGCAGAAACAGCCACAGGCACCTTCTACCTCCAACTGTCTCCAGCACAGCATGGAGAGGTGGGGGATGGAGCCCAGGCTGCTACAAAGACTATGGCAAAGATGGCCAAAGTCTGTGTGTTAGGGAGGGAAAGAAGGGAGGAAGGGAGGAAGGGAGGGAGGAAGGAAGGAAGGAAGGAAGGAAGGAAGGAAGGAAGGAAGGAAGAAGGAAGGAAGGAAGAAGGAAGGAAGGAAGAGAGGAAGGAAGGAAGAAGGAGGAGGGAGGGAGGGAGGAAGGAAGGAAGGAGGGAGGAGGGAGGGAGGGAGGGAAGGAGGGAGGAGGGAGGAAGGAGGGAGGGAGGAAGGAGGAGGGAGAGGAAGGAAGGAAGGGGGAGGGAGGGAGGAAGGGAAGGAAGGAGGGAGGGAAAGAAGGGAGGAAGGGAAAGAAGGAAGGACAGAAGGAAGGATGGAAGGAAGGAGGGAGGGAAGGAAGGAAGGAAGGAAGGAGGGAAGGAAGGATGGATGGATGGAAGGGAGGGAGGGAGGAGGGGAAGAAGGAGGGAGGAAGGGAGGAAGAAAGAAGGAAGGAGGAAAGAAAGAAGGAAGGGAGGTGGGAAGGAAGGAAGGAGGGAGGGAGAGAGAGATGAAAGAAAAGATAAGGAGGAAAGGAAGAAAGAAGGAAGGAGGGATGGAAGGAAAGAAGAGGAAAAGAAAAAGACAGAAAGAGAAAGGAGACAGAGAGAGATGTGCTCCTTTCCCACCTCCCGCATTCTGCCCTTCAAAATAAAATTATTTTAAATTGATGTTCAACTGCACACCTGACACATAGTAGGTGCTCAATAAATGCTTGTGGATTGGTTGATTTGGTGGCAGACAGATGTTCCTGTGTCCTTCTGTTTCCTCTGGACCACGGCGCTTATCGTACATAAGCCATAAAGCCTCTTTCAAAAAAGCAGCAGTTTTCATAACGATCCTGTCTTTCTTTACAAAGAAAAATCCCTCTGCTCCTGGGAGAGCCATCCAACAGCAATAGGTCGCAGGTCTGCCGCTGTGGGAGCAGCTCTGTGTGTGCCTCACACAAGGATTCCCCTGTTCCCCCTAGGCCTCAGGGCCCCTCCCAAGACCACGGAGCCTACAGGCACAGCGCCCTCTCACCACCAAGGTGGGCATTTGGAAGTTTCTTTAGCCAGGATCTACAAACCAGAGCCAAAGACCAGGCTTTCTGGGAAGAGAAGAGGCTGAGGAGGGCCAAGAAGGGAGAGAGGTGCATAAGCAGGGCTGGCCCAGTGGGGAGAGGGAGCTGACTCCCAGGTCAGGAGCAGCTCCGAGGGGGCTCAGGGACAAAGAGCAGGTAAGAAGGGAAGCTGGATCCAAGCCATGGTTCTCAAGGGTTAGAAAGAAAACATTAACTAGGAAGACAAGGAAGAAGGGACTCTGAGTGAAGCTAAGAGCATGTGTGGGGAGGCTGATGGAGCTTCTGGAGGTTGGTTTTACCACAAAGAAATTCTGTGTAGGCCCAAGACTGAACTCCTGGGTTTGGAGTCAGTAGAAGACCTTTGTTTGAATCTCTGCTTACTTCACCTCTTCACTTCAGTTTCCCCATCTGTAAAATGAAGATGGCACCCGAGGTGCTCAAAAACCTACAATGATTCCTTTTTTTCCTCCGGGTCAAACGCAAGTTGCACTGTTTGTCCTTCAAAGCCCCTCACAACCTGACTTCTACCTAACTTCATATTACATAACTCCCCTCACTTTATAGTCTGACCACCTTCCAGATCTTTCTTACACACAACTCTCCATCTCCCATCGCCAAACCTTTGCACAGGCTGTAGCTCATGCCTGAATGCATTCTCTCCTCATCCTTGACAATCCCTCATTTCCTTCATGGCTTGGCTTGAGGCTGAGCTCCTATGGGGCGGGGGAGGGCTTTTCTGACACCCCCCCCCCAGCTGCTAGTGTCTTCTCCCCTTATTGCCTTATTTTTTCAAAAAACACATGTTATATACTTACTGTCTTTTCCCTCTCTCCTGTTTCACTTAATGATCTCATCAGATCCCACGTGTCCAGTTATCTTATCTACAAAGATGATTCCCAAAACTCTATGTCCAACCTTACGCTCTCTCCTAAACTCCAGACTCACGTCACCAAGCTGCCTTGTGGGTAGCTCAAATGAGATTTCCCTAGGCATCTCAAACTCAGTATGCCCCAAATACCTCATTACCTTCCCACTCCCCTTCAATTCTCCCCTCTCTCAAACTTCCCCATTACTAAGGAGGGCACTGCCATTCTCTTAGTCAACCAGGACCTCAATCAAAGTTGGTCAGTGGATAGAGTGCCAGGACTAGAGTTAGGAAGACCTGAGTTCAAATTCAGTCTCAGGTACTTACTAGCTGTGTGATCCTGTGTAAGTCACTTCACTCCTGATTGTCTCAGTTTCCTCATCTGTAAAACTGAGGATCACATGAGATAATAATTGTAAATCACTTAGCAAAGTGCCTGGCACATAGTAAGCACTATATAAGTGGTGGCTATTATTATTTAGCATTATTATTAACTGTGGTATTATCCTTTACTCCTCATACTCTCTGACCCCCATATTCAATCCATTTCTGCATCTCATCATTTCCTTCACATCTCTCATATACATTTCTTCTCTCCACTCACATAGCCAGCATCCTATCCACTGTACGATCCAACTACCACTTGAACCAATATCCCCTTACCTCTGGTTCTCTATTTACTCCCCCATGATTGGGATCGCCATTTTGTATTAACTTATTTGTGTATATGTTGCTTCCCTCACCAACCACACAGTAAAATATAAGCTTCCTGAGGGCAGGGACCAACTAGGCTTCTTTTGGTTTTATTTTTATTTTTTGTCTTTATATCCCTAGTGCCTAGCATACGACCTGGACTATTGTAAGCATTTAATAACTGCCTGCAAAACTGAATTGAACTCTTTCAGCTATGGCATAGATCATGGAAGACTTTCTGGCAGAGGTAAGAGACTGTCCTTAATGACATCACTGGGCCTCTCCAAGGGTGAGTTGTATTCTGTATTTGGCGGTATCAATCAGAGCCCACAGCCACAGGATGGGCAGATGTACTTGCTTCTCAGGCCAGAATCTATGCTACGCTAGTAATTTGCCTTTGGGTTCCTCTTTTAGCCCTCAAAAGAATGGAAGGGAGTTACTCATTAGCATTTATTAGCAATAACTATTAAGGATGGGTAGCTAGATGGCTCAGTGGATAGAATACCAGGCCTGAAGTCAGGGAGACTCCTCTTCCTGAGTTTAAATCTGGCCTCAGATACTTCCTAGATGTGCGGCCCTGCACAAGTCACTTAGCCTCTGTTTGCCTTAGTTTCCTCATCTTTCTGGAGAAAGAAACAGCAAACCACTCCAGTATCACCACCAAGAAAACCCCAAATGAAACTACAAAGAGTCAGACATGTCTGAAATGATTAGACAACAAGAACAACAACTATTAAGGAACTTCAAAAAGATGATAAAACAGGTTGAATGATTTGGGAATAGACAAGGCAGGAGGAGAATGGAGATTTAATTCTAGTTGGATCAACACGAGTGTTATTTCCCTAGACTAGACCCCCCTCCCAAGGCTGTACCAGAAATAAATACCAACATACAGAGCCAGACAATAAATTAGCTTAATATGAGGGTGGCCACTCCATAGCTGTTGGTTCCCATTACTAATCTAATTCATTTCAAATGGATTTATGAGACTTGGATTAAAGAAAACACAGAACAGAAATATTGCCACACAGGATCCCAGAGGAGAAAGTCTCTTCCGAACTCCTCTGTCTTTTTGACTCTGGACTGGCTGGACCCAATCCATAAGATTCCGAGCTCCAAATCCATCTGGGCCTAAAGTTAGCACTCGGGCCCACTGCTTGCCCCACTCCCCATCCTGGCCTCCTGGTAAATGGGGGAACTGTTTCCTCTTTATGTCAATGTCTCAGTCCTAGCTCAAGACAGAAATCACGGCTCTGTAAAAGTCAGCACTGATTTCTCATCTGGGCAGGGTTGCTGAGTGAATCACGTTGGGAGCTGGCCCACTCTTAATGGAAACAAGATGGGGAAACTGTATTGGGTCTTAAAGAGACCTACTGTCAGATTGGAGGAGGAGGGAGAAGAGGAATTAGAAGGCTTTTTAAGGTCAGGTAGTGAGTGAAGGAAGGGGCAGAGACTTGGGCAGAGAATAGATACCCCTAGAAGGCTTTCAACTAGCAATTCTTTCATCAGTTTGGAAATTTGTAAATTTTTATGTAAATCTAGATACATTCAACCTTATTTATGACTAGACATGACTTGTAACGGGTCTTCTCAGTCTTAATCTGAACCAGGTACGTTTGCCCACCAGACACTTGTTACAGGGACAAGATGATATGCTGCTTGGACTGCAGCAGGCCTGTAGTTGGCTCTCACTGACCTTTACTCCATTCAGTTTTTACCTTATTTCTCAATAGCATCTGTCTTCTAAAAGTTAACCCTTATTCTTTCAGACTCAGTGTCCTGTTCTTAGGTGTTCTATAGAGGTGATCCTCTGGTGTTGTGTGGAGAGAGAGAGAAGGGAGGAAAGAGGAGAGGAGAGAGAGAAGAAGAGGAGAAGGAAGGGAAGAGGAGGAGAAGAGAAGAGAAAAGAAGAGAAGAGAACAGAAGAGAAGAGAAGAGAAGAGAAGAGAAGAGAAGAGAAGAGAAGAGAAGAGAAGAGAAGAGAAGAGAAGAGAAGAGAAGAGAAGAGAGAGAAGAAAAAGAGAGGAGAGGAAAGTGGTGGAGAGGAGAGGAAAGAAGAGGAGAGGAAAAGGAAGGGGAGGAGAAGAAAAGAGAAGAGAAGAAAGGGATGAAAAAGAGAGGACAGGAGAAGGGAGGAGAGGAAAAGAAAGAAAAGGAAAAGAAAGAAGAGAGGAGATGGAAGAAGAGAGGAAAGAGAAGAAAGTGAAGGAGAGTAGAAGAGGGGAGAGGAGAGAGAAAGGGAGAAGACAGGAAAGAAGAAGAAAAGAGAAGAGAGGAGAGGAGAAGTGAGGGGGGAGAAAAGAGAGAAAAGAGCATTTTCTTAAATTCTTACCAAGTTCCAAATACTGAAGATACAGATACAAACAAACAAGATAGCTTATATTCTAATGGGAGAAGACCCCAGTAAAGGGGTGATAGAAAGATGGATTTCCAATCAATGGAGGATTCCAAGTGACTCCACATAGACTGTCTTGTATAGACGGAGACTTAATGGGCTTCTAATCTGGGACATCTGAAGTAAAAGTAAACCTGTGGGTCCTGGAAGTTCACAAGTAGCCTGCTCTCCCTTCTGGGAGGGAGCGGCACCTCTTGGGCCAGTGGGCTAGCAGTGCTCCAGGACCCCAGAGGGAGTGATTCCATCTCATCATTTCAGATCCCACGCAGGTTGCCCTGAGCCGGGTGAAGCAGATAGAAAGCTGAAAGTCAGGAAGATCCAGCTTCCAGTCCTGCCTTGGACACATGGGCTTCTAGAGCTTGAGCTGGAAGGGACCCCAAAGGCCATCTAGTCCAACCCCCCCTCGTTTTATAGTGAAAAAACTGAGGGGGAGGGCAATTCAGTGACTTGCCCAAAGCAGGGAGCATCAGCCAGAGGCAGGATTCTGTCTGCATGACCTGGGACAAGTCTCTTATCCTTCAGATCCCTGTAGGTATCTGTCCAAGGACTACGAGGCACATATCCCTTCCCCATCTGTCTCAGTGGGGATGTCTACACTAAGAGCTGCCCAAACAGATGAGATCACAGGTCTACACTCCCCTTCCCTCACCCCCTAAAAAAGAATGTCACCACTGGTTGGGAGCATGTGTGGGATCCATTCACTTTAGTACCAAACATGGCATGCAGTTTTAGGTGCACGATAGCTATAATTGAACATTCCAATAGAATATAAAGTCCTTGAGGGCAAGCAGTACCCAGCTGTCCTAGGAGAGTACCTTGTACCACAGCAGCTAGGTGGTAGAGCACTGGGTCTGAATTCAAATTCAACCCCAGATACTTAGGATCTATGTGACCCTGAGGCAAACCTCTGCCTTAGTTTCCTCAACTGTAAAATGGGGATAATTATAGCACCAACCTCCCAGGGCTGTTGTAAGGATCAATTGAGATAATATTTGTCAAGTGTCTGGCACAGAGTAGGCTCTTAATAAATGTTTGTTCCCTTCACCTTCCCTGCTGGCCCTTCTTATACATTGATCCTGTGTTTCTTTGTCTGGACAGCACGCCATCTAGCCAACCCTTAACT